CTGCACAACTACCGAGCCACAATGCAAACATAGAAAGAGTTTTCAGTATGATGAACGCTCAATGGACTGATGAAAGAAATAGGTTTACTGTTGACTCAGTAAAAAGTTTATTAATAGTTAAATATAATTATAAAGAATTTAATTGTTCTGAGTTTTACGATTATTCTAAACAATAAGAAATTGTTAAGCACTGTACGGAGTAGTGCAAAATATAATTATAAAATATCTTAATAATATAATAAAATATATGTGTCCGACTATTTCTCGGTTTATTTAGTACCCACTATGTTTTATTTTAAATATTGTATCTAGTAAGATCCATTGATCATTGTCCCAAATAAAACATAAAATCATTTTGACGTCAAAATGATATAATTTTTATATTATTTGACGTCACCTTGACTTTTATATGATTTTGTGTTCTACTTACTGTACTCTTTTGGGACCGTAATTAGTACTCTTTTATAAATTTTTTTTTACCCGTCTTTTACTCTTTTTTTATGACTGGGATATGGTCACCGTACTCATAACCCAACATTACATTACCTATCATACTAGCTTCTGGAACTACATAATTCCGGAGTTTTGACATCATGCTCAAAAATTAAAAAAAAATTTTTTCTCTGGAACGGGAAAAGCTATAACCTTGAAGAAAATATAAAAAGTAGGATACCTTAGGAGGATTCAAATAAATATGGTTTCATTTGATTTCGGCATCTATAGGGTATCCAAAAAAAATATTTCAATTTTTGAAAGATAATTTTTCTAACTGTAGAGTATCCTGTAGAGGTATTACCTTTATATTTCATATACAACATTACTACCTACCCATGTATAATATATATTTTCTTGAAATGATCATTGTGGTACAGCATGGTTAAAACACAAAAAACCAAAAAAATCTCCTTTTTTTGAAAAAAATAAGTGCCACTTTGATAAGCTTAGATTTTAAAACGTAACGTAAAACTTTTTTCAACGTATCTCTTATTAGTGGACATATTTTGGTTTATTCTATGTCCGATTAAAATTAGTTTCATTGCATTTGCATTAATAGATATTTGTAATGATAACAAATTCGACTGTATGTACTAGTGCGCACAACTAATGCAAGTTAAAGTCTATTGTACATATTTTAATCTAATCGTGGAAATAGATATAGATGCCAGCAGCTACTTCCAGTGATGCCAGAATGCTCACGCAACCGTAGTGAAGGGGATGACGCACAAGCGTAATCGCGTACGCTTGTGTGCGTCATCCCCTTCACTTGTGTGAGTTCGGCGCTTTGGTTACACTTTTAACCATGCTATACCACCATGATCATTTCGAGTGAAATATATATTATACATGGGTAGGTAGTAATGTTGTATGAAATATAAAGGTGGTACCTCTATAGGATACTCTACAGTTAGAAAAATTACCTTCCAAAAATTGAAATATTTTTTTTGGATACTCTATAGATGCCGAAATCAAATCAAACCATACTTATTTGAATCCTCCTAAGGTATCCTACGTTTTATATTTTCTTCAAGGTTATAGCTTTTCCCGATTCGGAGAAAAAGACTTTTTTAAACTTTTGAACATGATGTTAAAACTTCGGAACAATGTAGTTCCAAAAGCTAATATGATGGGTAATGGTAATGTTGGGTCATGAGATACTTTGTGCATGAAAATTAGCCCGATGTCGCAAGGGGCAGCCCTATAGGAAACTATAGGAAAAACGGCCTCGGCCTTTCACTGCAGAATATTAAACACTGAATGCATTGTACAACATAATCCATATTGCACAGGCAGATGCAGCAACATCGATGCAATGTTTCGACATTGCTGCAATGTTGCTGCAACTGTTTGTATTTGGGGATGGACACATAGTCAAGAATGGCCATGATCTTAAATAAAAAGATAAAAACGTATTAACATATTGCTATTGAAAAGTTTTAAACACTCAAATATCTTAATGTTTTATAATTACTTTAACAAAGTAATTGATCAATCACTGACGAAATCTGATGAGTGTGCCGGAATGAATGATTGGAGGAGCATTACAGCTACTTGGATCACAGTGCGACTTAATTGATCTAGCAATTTTTATCGGTATGCGGCAAGATATAAGAGCGGCGAAATAAATAGTCTGTTCTTTTTAGTTCTTTTTTTTTTAGTTCTTTTTTAGTTGCACTGCTGAACTAGTGCAATAGAGTGAGACAACTATATTTTTTCTCATTCTTGCACCAGTTCAACAGTGCAACTAAAAAAATAAACCTAAGATTAGCGTATAACCGAATTGTTGTCCTTCCGCTCGCCGTGCGCCAGCAGTTGCTAAATCCACTGCGTCGCACTTTTGCCCAAATAGCTGCAGTGTAGAGATGCGCGAATCAAGAACTTTTATGTCGAATCGAATTGAATCTCATTTTTTAAATTTCGAATCAAATCGAATCTATGAAATTTTACTCGAATTCGAATCGAATCGAATGAAATCGAAATGAATCATTAAAAAATTTAACATGACTATTAAACATGCAAATAATGATGGAAGATTTTAATATGGAAGGGAATATTGATATTATAATATCATCTTAAAGTAAAATATATATTTAAATAATTAAAGTAATTTATAATTAAGTTATTAATTATAAGTTAAGTTAATTATAAGTTAAGGGTTCAAACATACAGGCCCAGTGGTGCGATTCTGTAACTCGTTATTGGAGTTAACGACAGTTTCGTTATCGTTGCGCAGCTTTTGTATACCGTAGAAAAGCTGCGCAACGATAACGAAAATGTCGTTAACTCCAATAACGAGTTACAGAATCGCACCACTGATGGTCCGTTTTGTAACTGATGCACGCAAACCTGTATTCTATTCTACTAAAAAATAAAATCTATATTAGTAAAATTCTATTATAAAATAAAGATTTAGAAGATAATATATTTGATTTCTATTCGAATTATTCGGATTCGAATTATAGGGATTCGGATTCGAATCGAATCGAATTATATTAAATTCGATTCGATTTGATTCGAATTTAAATAGTTCGCACATCTCTACTGCAGTGTTTCTTTAATCATCTATTTCGACGTGTGTTCATTCCTCAGATTTCTATGATTAATAACCCGATAATTATGGCAAATATCGCAAAACAGTATAGAATTTTTGGAATTTGTTATAACCAATTTCACGCCTCCACTGGCTATGGCTACGTGAATTGCTAAACATCCAACATATGAATTTTTAAATGAAATATTTTATATGATCAATAGGTAATTATTGCGTATGACATTTTAAGAAAAGAATAAACAAAATTACTTGAACTATGGAAACCAATATTAGCTAATCTGCAAAAATTCCTAATAAATAAATTGATATACAATGTGCACGCGTAGTTGCGGGATTAAGCGTATGAAATCTACATGATATCATTAATAAAATTTGATTGTTTATAATTTAAGAATTATTTTGATCTTGACATTTTTGTATTAAGATTCTTTTATTTCAAATAAATTTTGAAATATGTCAATTAAATATTATTTTAAAATGATAGTTTTGGAATACTTCATACATCATGATAAAAAATCGCAGCTAACTTATGTATGATCTAAAAATTGCGTTATATTAAAATAAACACTAATATATTACAACATTATTAATTTGATATAAGACGGAAAGGGATATCGAAGAAACATATATTCATAATATCGATATATTTTATATCTTATTAGTAATTATATAATTTGTATATATAGTCCACACAGCATTTACGTCCTGACTTGCGGAATTTGGACAACATAAGGGCGTTTATCTAATTACTGACGAAAATAATTCATCTATTTTATTAAATAGCATCTACATTAATTAAAACTAATTGTGAATAACTCAATTTTCTTCTTCTATCTATTTTCTAGACAGCTACGTGATCAAGAAAATAAATGATAAATTATGATCATTTAATTATTGTTACGTAAATTTCTTTCTTTAAAATATTCTAGTATTATAATTTCCGTTTTATAACATGTTTCATTTTAGTATCTTGCGTAATTACATCTGTACAAAACTAAAATAAACATTATCATTAAATAACGGAATAAATACCATTATAAATACCATTAAATACCATTAAAAAAGTTATTAAAATTCGAACGCACTACCGCAGAACGACTAAGAACCCTTCGTGGGAAGAGAGCTTACCGTAGAGATAATAGCTTAAATAATAGTTCATTAATTGTCTCAAAGTAAATTCTACACTCAAAGTAAATTCGACTATATGTAAAAATTAAATTCATTTAATTAGCATCGAATCAAATTATTGGCACATCAAATTATCGAATTCATTACGTGAATAATTATATACGTGGTGTGAATGATTACCTAAGTTAAGTTAGGTAATCATTAGGTTTTCAACATAAAAGGTTTTCTTTAAAGCTGTCATCCAAGGTAAGTAGGTCATATAGTTTTCTTTTGAGAACGTTTGACAACTGTTTGATGACTACGTTTGTTAAATGAAGCACAACAGTTGCTTATTCGTGTTTCAACGTTTGTCAGTAAACGGTATATATAGTATATCGGTATACCGATATACTACATCATGTATGCCATATCATTATAATTAAAATTGCTTATGTGATTTTCGACTTTATGCATATATATAGTTGAAAAAGTTGAAAATAATTTTCGATTCAAGGAATGGCATGGTATACATGATGTTAGTTATATGAGAAAGTTTCGTATTTCACATATCGTATTTCACAACGCGCGTAGTTATATTTACAGCATTCGGAATTATGGTGAGAGGTTCCATTAGACTTGTTTGAAGGAAAGCAAAGCCAAAGATGTTACGTTGTTACGATAATATCTCTTTTCTTTTCTAAATTTTCGATGTATACCTATGTAGTAGTTTTTATCACAATAAAAATAAAAAATACAGAAGTCGTCTTCATTCATAAAAGAAAAAGTACAAATGTCAATTAATAAGCTTCGATTGTGTTCAAAGAGGAGATTTTGTTGATCAAGCTGGTGTTGAAAAATTATATTAGGAATGCATCCGAATATAATCTGTACAAAAAATGTATACTTGTCTATTATAATTAGTGAATATTATACATTGTTATAGGATTTTGCTCGGTGATTATACTTTAGCAAAGATACACTTGAAACCGTGCACCGTGCAAAATCACAATTGTACTGTCCTAGACTAATTCAGGGGGAGGATCACATCCCTTTACGCTTTGTCTAGGTTGAATCATTACCTCCGTCTGTTCCTTTGATAACTCATGATCTTTGGTGATTTCAAAATCTTGCTCAGCTATAAAACTTCGTCGAATTGCACCATTTGCTACTGAAGATAAATCATTTCTTTGATGTTGTGTGTCCCGCCATGGAGTCGTCAGAATTTTAAATTTCTGTAACATATAACTTTATTTAGCATGTTTTTATATCTTATTCTCCCTCTTGTGCAAATCATTAATAAGAAACATTCACAATCACTTTCTTTAATTCTAATAAAATTTGCTATATTTAGAGACTATTAGAACTTGACTTGTAGAACAAAATTAAAAGATATATAGGATGTCCCGAGAGGAAAGGTCAATATTTCGTGGGGGTATAGAATGAGGTAATATAAGGCAAAAATGTTATATAAACATGGTGTCATTTATTACTGGTTTCCGAGATACAGCTATGTTAAATTACACGTCGAAATTTAAAGGTCATTCTACAATGAGGTTGTAGTAGTATACAGTAGGCAAATTGACCAATCACGATCGATTGTTCTCTTTACGATCGAAGAATAATCGACTGTGATTGGTCAATTTGCCTACTGCATACTACTACAACCTCATTGTAGAATGACCTTAAAGTTGGCGCGTCATTGGGATTTCGTTCTTCACCGTAACGGAGCGCTGCAGGCTGTGTATCAATTGGAAAGGTTAACGAAACACACTGGTGATCTGTTCTGCTGTTTGTGACACCTCGCAAACTTTTTTTTAAGGAAAACCAAGCTCTTTCTTCAAAAATGGAATCGACAAGCTTGTAGATCGTTGGAAAACAATTGTAGAGAAAAATGGAGACTATATAATTGATTAATAAAACTGTATTCTTTCAAATTTAACCTACTGAAGTTTATCTTTAAATCGGGCATCTTTAAATCGGGCACGAACTTATGTAATCATCTAATACGATCGTTCTCCTCTCGGAAGGCAATGGCAAACCACCGAGAGTATCCTGTCTAGTAAATTTCCCTAATATTGCCGTCCGGATTCGGCGTTAAACTGTAGGTCCCGTATACATGTGGATAACCCACATAGCACATAATATTATAGAAATATTGCAGTGATATTGTAATATTAATGGTAATATTACATATTACAGTGAAACATTACAGAAATATTACTGAAATATTACACTTTCATATATTTCATTAAAATATTACAGAAATATTATTGAAATATTACATACTTACATCATTGAAATATTACTTTTATTTTTGCAATATTATAATTATACGTTTGCAATATATCATATTTTAAATCGGAAAGTGACATCAAATGAAATATCAATTTTTTAGAGACATTAGAGACATCATTAAAACGTTATTATTGCGTTTGAAGTCATCTTGCTTCTTGGAATATTATAAATTGTATCAGAATATAAAATATGTTTGAGGTAATGTATTGTTTTTCAATATTATAAAAACATTTTTTATCAATATCAGTAAGTTGTGTACATTATTCCGCATTATGAATATGGTAAGTAACATTAATAAAAAATGTATTCTTAGCATTATAAAATCATATGTATCCTCTCATATAGCACAGGTATTTCGAAGATGTTTTAGGGACATTCCGAGGACTTCTAAATGTCCGCGTAAGTTCTTAGAACGTCTTTGGAATGTCCTGGAACTTATGCGGACATTTAGAAATTCTTAGAACGTCCCTAGCATTTAGGGAGTTTTTGAAAGCAAGCAAATTGATCGCAGACTGCGTGCAAATTGGCAGCAAATTTGATGCGAAACCCACATCAACCCCATAGCCATCTGTGTCCGCATTCAGCTTGTATTTTGGCGACAAAGTCTGCTGACATGCTTTGACGGCAGATTTGCAGCAAAACTTGAGCAAATCCTGTTGCCAAACTACGCGCAGGATTTGCGCGCAGAGTTTGCTCGGTTTCTGCTATCAGATTACTGCAAGCCTTGCACGGTTTTTGCTGCAAATCTGCCATCAAACATCCTGCAGCAGAATCTGCCGTATATTTGATCGTAGTTTGGTAGCACGATTTGATATAACAGATCCTGTATCAAATTTGTTGCCTATTTGCCATCAAATGATGAAAGCAGGCTTTGTTCGAAATCTGCTCACGCAGGTTTAGCTATCTGGGCCTGTGCTATATGGGCTTAAGGCACATATTACTTGAGCAACAGTTAGCTACTATAACCCATACAGCACAGATCTCCAAAGGACATCCTGAAGATATCCCGAGGACGTCCCTACGTCCTAAGAATGTCTCTAAGGCGTTTCTCAGGATATACTTTGAAGATTTTGTGCTGTTTGAGAAATTCAATATGATTTGGTTTAGGATATTTAACATCTTACGCTGCTTTATATTTTTAATTTTATTTTGTATTCATCTTATTACTTATTACTTATTTTTAGTTCGTAACGATATTATTGATTGGTAATAACGATATTTTCTAGTATTTGTGGCAATACCTAAGACCGTATGTTGCAATGTCCATAACATTATTCTGTACAATATTTAACAATACAAAAAAATAAAAACAACATAAAACAATAAAACATAATAAAAATATTTAAATTATTCATATATGTGTGTGTAATATTATATACTATATAAATATTGCATAAGTACTACAAATACATTACAGTAATATAATTGTGATTTTCACTATCATATTACTATGATGCATTTGCCGCGGACATTTAAATATTTCTGTGATATCTCAATAATATTCCAGCAATATTTCTGTTATATTCCATTGTAATATTGCAATAAAAAATTGATATTGCTGTGATATTTTTGCGATATTACGTACTATGTGAGAATCTAGGTGCACAACATGTGTATGTGTGAAAAATCGCCAACGTCCGAAATCGGATATGACACATCAAAATAAAATATGTATATGCACTCAAATTTGAGTGTACATACCCATATCTGAAAGTAAATTCGAACAATTGAATGTAAACACTCAATATTTGAATGTTTTTTTCCATAAGAGTTAATTTTATATTAGTTAATCTAATATTAGATTTAAAATGTTATCGTTGAAATCTTTATTGTTTTACAAGAAACACACCGTGCGAATCACATCTTGGAATAATTATAGCAAAGCAAAATAGATTTATAGAATCATAGTTAATGTCGAAACATTAGTGCAAAAGCCTATAAAATTCCATATTATGATAAATTTATTTTGCCAATATTGCCAATATTGCATACAATCGTACCTACTCGAAAACTATATGCATGATAAATTTACTTTAATCACGTTTTATTCCATGAAAATTAATTATATGTGTGTATACCTATGTATAATTTTATGATGTTACAAATATATTTTTCATTAATAATATCCAAACGTATTATATATTGTAGTGCACAGTATCTATATATTTATGTTTGAATAGTATTAATAAAAAATATATTCGTCTTACTACAAAACAATATTTTTATTGCTGAAATATTTTATTCATACTTCGTTGTAGAACGTTTCAAGTGACATTAAATGACGTCTTAATGACGTTTCTAATGTCCATAAAACATAATAAAAACGTCATTTGACATCATCTTGCTATTTGGGATGAGATATATTGCAATACAATATTATTGTAATATTTTAATGCTATATATTGTTGTGCCCGCGCGTGAAAGAAATAACTCGGGATATACTAAACGAGAAAAGCTTTATTTAGCCTAGAAAAACGGATCTTAATCAATTCCAAAATAATCGCACGAATTCGCTTTACGTCCGTACGCTGTGACAGGACTAGAGCGACTCTCTTATTATTCCAGTTGTTAGTAAACAAATTCCTTGACAACGATAACAGCTGTCAAACACTCTCTATATGCCTTTTTCACAGAGCGTCTTCTCCCAAGAGCGTGGGAACAATACGTTCCCCAAAGGTGTGGACACAACAATATCAACAGTAATATATCAGTATTATTACTGTAATATTTCAACATTATATATAAATGTAATATATCAGTAATGTTTCTGTAATATTGTATCATAATATGTAATATTGCATTACAATATGTAATATTACTGATGTATTGTAATCTATGATATTTCTGTGCTATATTATGTGCTATATGGAATAGTTTTCTCCCTTGTCTATTCTTGATTCCTTAAATTAACCCTCAAATTAATTCTTAATTGTTAAACTTTTAAATTAAAGAAGCTTTAAATGAAAGAAATATTGATTATCATAAATATTTTAAATGGAACTTACTTGAATAATGGATCCAGGTGTTTTCATGATTTTGTAAATTGCCATACCTGGAATCATGATGATAGAAGAGCATGCTATCAACCAACCCAATATGTTTGCCCAGACCGGATAAACGTAGTCTTCATATGTTAAAGGTTCATAACCCATTAGACCGTAGACGATGATGAACTGTAGTAAATGAAAAAAATAGAAATATAACAAATATACTGTTATATAAAAATGATTACAAATGTCAAATTTATTTTTTATTTTTGAAATAATAATGGTCTTTTGTGAAATACCATATGCAATATATAACATATAAAATATATAAATAACCGGAAATACCAGTTTTTAATAAACTCTTTCTACTCTTTTATTACAACGTACCATAAGAAATAGAGGTGCTATAACTTTCCAGCATACCCGCCAATAGATACCAGGTGAAAAGCCGATCATATCTTTGATATCGGCGCAAAATCGATCCGTTCCATAAATCCAACTAACGGCAATTGTTTCCGCGAGAACGGCGAACAACATAGAGTATCCAGCCGCATATCGATCCAACAAGTGGAAAAAGTAAAACCCGCCCTATATATTAAAAAGCAGCATCATTTATTTTATAATGTAAATTTTATAATGTAAAGTATACGCACATATATATAGTATATGAATTTACTATACAGAGTGTCTCATTTTAATGTCCCATCCCAAATAACTCTTCAGTATTGAAGTTTCAAGGAAAATAATCTGAATAAAGTTGTAGGGATTTAAGTGAGCTACCTTATGATGACCTTGACTTTGACCTTGACCTCTATTTTCAAGGTCATTTGAAGGTCAACTTGCGTTTTTCAAATGGGAGCCCTTATTTTTTATTATACTGTTTTATCTACTAGTTAATTTGAACAACTTTTGTCTAAAACATTTTTTATTTGTCTAATATTTTTGAGGTATTTGAGGAAAACTTGATAACTTTTTCAATATTTAACTTACGATATCTCGCTAACTATTTGTCGGAAGAAAAAGTGGTACTAGACTTTTTTGCTTTATTTAGTCTCAAGAATATATTGTTACAATAGCGCCAATAGCTTGACTTTTGTTAACTTACTGATTTTTGGAAATTTCAAAATCATCAAATTAACAAAAATCAGGGCGTTATTGTAACAATTCTTCAGACTAAATAAAGCAAGAAAGTCTAGTACCATCTTTTCTTTCGACAAATAGTTAGCGAGATATCGTAAGTTAAATATTGGAAAAGTTATCAAGTTTTCCTCAAATATCTCAAAAAATATTAGACAAATAAAAAAATGGTTCAGACAAAAGTTGTTCAAATTAACTAATAAAAAAACAGTGTAATAAAAAATAAGGATTCCTATATAAAAAATGCAAGTTAACCTTCAAATGATCTTGAAAATAGAGGTCAAGCCAAGGTCAAAGCCAAGATCATCATAAGGTAGCTCACTTAAATTCCTACAATTTTTATTCAGATCATTTTCCTTGAATATTGAAACTTCAATACTGAAGAATTGTTTAGGGTGGGACATTAAAATGGGACACCCTGTATAAAACAAATAACACAAAAAATATTATCTAAATATAATCTTAATAAATATTATGATTATTTTAGATCAAATTATATCGTGATTTAAACACGATAAAATTAAGTCAGGAAATTTAAAGAAAGTTAAAGTTTTCTGATGTAAAAGAATTTGGGGCCCATATTTGAAGGAAAGATACTCCATATCAAAATTTCGAAGTTATAATTTCTTAAATAATTAAATATTGTAATTGACTGTACAAATATGATATAAACAATCTCAATTTATTTATAGTTTATATATTATTATGAACCTATATAACGTATATTTTATTTCATTATGGACTAAAATATGAACATACAGGAACGTGACCATCTTGTAAAAGGTTTTTAATAAAAGAAGTTTAAATATAATGTAGTTTTCTGATATTATATATATTATAAATATCTAATTTAACTTGTATTATTCATATTGATATATTATATCACGAATTAAGAAATTCAGATTTTAATCAATCTTAATATAACTGTAAGTTAGATAAATAAATAAATTTAGAAATATTCAGTTGCTGCTAGAAACCGTTTCAAGAGATGAAAAAACCACTTTTCAAAAATATAGAAGCTTATATTTCTTTTAATCTATACTAAATGAAATATTAAAAATGTTTTATACAAAAGTTTTACAAAAAAATATTTCTATTTAATTATGTTTATTCATTTTTTAAGAAAAAAATTATTTTCAAAATTCACACTTTATATCTCTCATATATAACAAATTATTTATTGTGTATTAATTGTGCGTAATTATGTGTAAAAATCCTGATTTTAATGAAACTTGGCATGAATTGTTATGGATCCATACCGCATAAAGTCATTAATTTAAAAAATTTCAATTGCTGCTAAAAACGGTTTGAAAGCATGGAATCGAAGATTCCGTCGAATATATTGAGACTTCCGCCTATTTTTCGAAACTATACGAGATATCGCACGAAAAATATCTTATACAAAAATGTTAAAGTAAGAATATTTCTATTAACGTTATTCATTTTTTTTAAATAAAATATTTTCAAGAATTCATTCTTTGTAATTGCTGAAAGTGTATCTGTTGTGTTATAATGTTATAAGTTTATTATTAAGTTAAGGTAAATAATTGTTACTCGAAAAGAACATGTTGCATATCAAGTAGAATAGGCGACTATATACAGGATGTCCCATTTTAATGTCTCACCCTAAATAATTCTTCAGTATTGAAGTTTCAATATTCAAGGAAAATGATCTGAATAAAAATTGTGGGGATTTAAGTGTGCTACTTTATGATGACTTTGGCTTTGATCTGGACCTCTATTATCAAGGTCATTTGAAGGTTAACTTGCGTTTTTTAAATGGGAATCCTTATTTTTTATTACACTGTTTTTTTCTACTAGTTAATTTGAACAACTTTTGTCTAAACCATTTTTTATTTGTCTAATATTTTTTGAGATATTTGAGGAAAACTTGATAAATTCTTCAATATTTAACTTACGATATCTTGCTAACTATTTGTCGGAAGGAAAAATGGTACAAGACTTTCTTGCTTTACTTAATCTCAAGAATTGTTACAATAGCACTTTGTTAACTTACTGATTTTTGAAAATTTCAAAATCATCAAATGAACAAAAATCAGGGCGCTATTGTAACAATATATTCTTGAAACTAAATAAAGCAAGAAAGTCTAGTACCACTTTTTTTCCGACAATTAATTAGCGAGATATCGTAAATTAAATATTGAAAAAGTTATCAAGTTTTCTTCAAATATTTAAAAAAATATTAGACAAATAAAAAATATTTTAGACAAAAGTTGTTCAAATTAACTAGTAAAAAAAGAACAGTGTAATAAAAAATAAGGGTTCCCATTTAAAAAACGCAAGTTGACCTTCAAATGACCTTGAAAATAGAAGTCAAGGTCAAAATCAATGTCATCATAGGGTAGCTCACTTAAATTCCCACTACTTTTATTGGAATCATTTTCTTTGAAACTTCAATACTGAAGAGTTATTTGGGATGGGACATTAAAATGGAACACCCTGTATAGTGTTACAGATATATACAGGGTATCTCAGAACTTTGGCACACGGGCTCCGTAGGGATATAGAGCTAAGTGAGAGGAACAAAAAAGTCCTTTGCCATAATATGAAAATCGTAATAGTTTTTTAATTATAACAGCGCAAAGTTTGGCGTTTTCCACGTCCAGCGCAGCCTATAGACACTCCGCGGCAAGCTGTGTGCGTAGGGGCTAAACGATAACGTGGCTCGCTGACCGTCGCGCGACGTTAAAACGCCAAGACGCCATCATGACAGTCAGCGCGAGACGCGTTATCGCTCAGCCCTTACGCACACAGCTTGCCGCGGAGCGTCTATAGGCCGCGATGGACGTGGAAAACTCCAAACTTTACGCGGTTATTACTAAAAAAACTATTACGATTATGCTATGCGTTTCGTCCGAGTAAATTACATGTAGTCATGTCACATGACTCTCGAAATGAAAAACATCTTCAAAGATGAGCGCCAAAACAAAACAATTTGGCGCCCCGCGCTCGGTGCCGCGCGCGGCGCTGTCCGCTGCGCGCGCACCCGTCTTCATTGTGTTGCTTGTTCTCCCGAATAATAGCATCGAGTGTTTCCTTTCTTCAAATTATGGGAAAGCACTCTCATTCAAAGTCCCGGAAACGGTCTTGCTTCCGGTCACACTAATCTATTACTTTTTTCCTTCAGGATATTCTGGCGAACGTTCTCCGGACACGGATATAGAGGTAATATAACCTCCAGATCGAAGTGTCCGCGTGACGAATCCCGCGGACAACGACACTGCTCTTCTAGTGTCCATTCTCGTTCATCAGAACGTTCGTTGACAATTTCCTTGGAGAAGAAGCTGGATGCTCTTCTCAATTTACTCATGTACTCGGGGTCAACCCGCACGGATCGGCAGGAGGCCGATCGTGTCGAACATAACCTCTCCATCAGTGCGGACGGTCAGGAAGCCTGTACGGCAGAACCAGATCCTCCGCTTGGGAACACGGAAAGCTCTAATCCTGGAGGTGAGCCTGAGTTAATGTCTTGAGGCTGTCCTTCGAGGCAGGTCCAGTGACATCATTTCTGGACTGCGAACCATTACCTAGAGTTTGATCTTGTCCGCTAGATTCTTTCATAGCAAGGTTGTCCTTCGAGGCAGGCCCAGTGACATCATTTCTGGACTGCAAACTATTACCTAGAGTTTGGTCTTGCCCACTAGATTCTCTCATAGCGAGGCTGTCTTTCGAGGCATGCCCAGAGCCGCCTATCTCATTCTCGTTGAGAATAACGTTTCTCTGGCTCTATGTTCACTCGCAATAATATGTTCAGCGACTGACCAGTAAGAGGAAACGGAAGAGATAGCTCATCCTTCTGTTACTTTTGCGAAATCCTCTCTTCCGGACACAACGTCACACCTCAGCAAGACGAAGTTGCTGCGTGTAAGAGAGTTTTATTGAAGGGCGATCCGGATGATGTGGCCCCAGGTCTGTCAGTCCATGAGCTAATGCGACAAGGTCCTCCACCTTTATAGTGGTTAGGTGAGATGTTTATCAGTACTTGCTTCGGCAACACATATACTAAAATTATAACGATACAGGGAAGATTGGCATAGCCCCTGCGCAAGGATGACACGCAAAATCGTGAAACGTTCCACATTTAAAGTCGTTATTCAAAGTATTATTGAAGCCGTAATTGCAGCGCAAGCAAACGTATTTTGAAACTGCAAGCGATGCTGGCCGCTTAATCTCTTAGGTCCAGCATCATACATCTAAGGTTAGACGTGGTCTGATTATGCCTATGTTAACTTCATCCGCTAGAAACGTTCTTGATGCATCGCCTATTGACAATCAGCTTTTTGGTGAACAATATTTAAGCAAAAATGAAAAACATAGCAGCAGCGGACAAGTTAGTTCGCAGCTTTACTACTTTAGTGCAGACGCCTGCGAAAGCGAATACTGCAAATAAGAGCCGATCTTCCTTTGCTCATAAACCCTTATCATAGGGAAATACGAGAACCTTTGCCAATAAATCAGCGTCTTGTCGCCAGGCAAGGGTTATACCTTAGTCGACGAGACATCGGTCGAGCTCTCAGATCAGGAGCCAGCGCCCTCGCATATAGAGGTAAGCATTGCGGGCAGGCTTGCTCAAATTTTCGAGATCTGGTCTCACTAACGACTCTGACGTTTTAAGCGCAGTTTCAGGCTATAAAATACCTTTTCTTATAACTCCTTTCCCCTGCCCCCTGCATATTGGCGGGAACTTTGGTTGAGTCCATTAGAACAGACGCTGTGTGTAAAGGAAATAAAGTGCTTCATCTAAGTACAAGAGCTCCATCGCCGAAACCACCTTTATAACGGGAAAAAAAAAGATTCATTATGAATCTGAAAATCCTCAACAGATAGATTCTTCCACCTCATTTTAAGATGGAGGATCTCGGGACTGCTACCCATCTACTATCTCAAAATTGTTTTATGGCAACATTAGATTTAGGAGATTCTAAATTTCTAGTGCCAATTCATGCAGATTATTGCAAATATCTTCGTTTCTTTTTCCAGGAACGCCTTTTTGAGTTCTGTGTATTACCTTTCGGCCTCGCCACAGCTCCGTATAATTTTACAAAAATATTACGACCTATCGCAGTTCACCTAAGCGAACGAGGTTTATCGTCGGTTATCCACCTTGATGACTTTCTGCTTTTCGGGGACTCGTAGGAATAATGCTCTGCCAACATACACTGAGAGAAAGGTATATGATATTTGGAACTATAATGATATAGTAACAAAATTATAGTTCGAAATATCATATTTATAGTTCCACGAACTATAAAAATATGGCTGACGCCAAAATGAACTATAAAATATAGTGAGATTATAGTTAATTCAATTATATTTTTCTATCAGTATAGACACCACTCTGGATTTATTCAAGTTTCAGTTTTGTTATTAATTTCCCCTCCTCCCCCAAAAATTGAGTAAACTTCTCCCGGCGCGAGAACAAAGATTTCTGGGATTCTTGTTGAATTCATCTACTCTGAATATAACATTATCTGAGGATAAACGTTTAGCCATTTTGGAACGCCTTGAGAAATATTCCAAGAAACGTTCCTGCAAAATTCGAAATTTGCTAGTTTAATAGGCATTCTATATGGAAATTTTTTCAGATGTCTCCCTCACAGGTTGGGATACACCTATCTGCACGAATAAAACTCACGATTGGTGGTCATACTTGGAACGCAAAGAGCATATAAATCTTCTAGAATTAAAGGCTGGGAGTATGCTCTCAGATCTCTGTGAGTCATCTCTCAGCATTCGCCAAGTCAATCCGGCAATGGTATGACCGGCACGTGACCTATATATCTTTGCTTCTTATATCTGCTCTGTTGACAACATTGTGGCGGACATAAAGTGTCGCTCGGTGTCCATAGGCACCGAAGGGGAGCTTACTTCCTCCCTTTTAGCAAAGATTAAGAAACGTTTCGGACCATTCGACATTGATTTATTCTCCACTCATAACAATGCAAAAGGTAATACCTTTGCCTCGTGGCTCCCGGATTCCTTTGTTTTGCAGTCGACGCTTTTACTTTAGACTGGGGGGAATTCTAATTTTACGCCTTTCCTCCTTTCGTACTTATTACTAGAAGTTTGCGAAGATCGTAGACGGGCGGAGGGCATTCTAGTTGTACTCCGATAGCCAGCTCAACCTTGGTTTCCCCTCTTTCACCAATTATGTACATCAGATCCCACTCACTTCCGGCCACACCCTAATTTATTACTTTCTTCCTTCAGGACTCCACACCCAATCGAGCACAATATTTCCCTGGTAATAGGAAAATTATTAGGAAAGCGTTTAGCCGAAAAGGTTTCCCGGACGACGCCTAGAGACAGCCTTCGCATCGCTTGGGGCCTCGACACTATCGCAATATTCTAAGCTCATTCAATTGTAGTGGAATTTCTGCACTCAGCATAAACTTGACTGGTTTTGCCCGGCAATAACACTGGTTCTCTCCTCCTTATCTTCGCAGCTTCGTAAGGTTAACGCTTATGGAACCCTAAATTGTATCGCTCAGCGCTCTCGCTTATCATGAATGTTAATCTTGGCTCAGACGACAGAGTACGGCGTTTTTCAGAGGCGTATCGGTTTTAAAACCTTCTAAACCCAAGCACGCACTGACATGGGATCCAACGCCTGTCATATTTGGCCTCTCTTTGGCCTTGTCTTTAGAACTTCTTACGCGCAAACTTGCCACCTTGCAAATTTTAGTTTCAGTGCAGCATGTACAGGCTCTGGGGTTAATTAAGCGACGTAATATTCATTCCTCGAAACTACCGTTATTATTAAAGTACCTGATCGTATAAAGACCTCTGGTTCGAACCGGCCTCAAATGGTCATAGTTTTTCCATCACTTTGATGATCAGCTTGCCTTGTCAATTTTTTTATTGCATTTATATATTAGTAAGACAGCGCATAATTCTTCGTCAGAATCCTCTTCGGCCTTATTTCTTAGCTTTAAGAAGCCCGTCCGTACCGCATCCGCTCAAACGTTGGATGCGACTAACACTGTCTGAAAGAGGAGTTGATACCTCAATTTTTACGACTCACTCTACTCGTCACGCCAACTCTTCGGCCACGCTTCAAAAAGGTATTTCTGTTGACGATATTCGAAAAGCGGCAGGCTAGTCGTCCACTTCGTCAATTTTAGCGAATTTTTTACAACCAACCATTATTACCCACAACTAAGGGGGCTGAAGCGATTATCTTGAATCATTAACTGCGAGCTTAGTCCTTTTCTTTTCTAAATGCATTATGCTAGGAGTTACGCTAATAATTTTACCTATGCATATTTCACTTCGTTTTGCTATCTAACAGATGCGTAGCGTCCTTTTTCTTTTGGTCTCTGTAAGGACTTTTCTTCAAAAAGGAAAAAAGAAATATCTCACGGTCACAAATCGTGGCTTTGAACAGCTACATGTAATCTACTCGGACGAAACGCATAGCATAATTGTATGATCAAAACGAACTCCTGAATGAAGTTCGATCATAATTATGCATATGCTTTCGTCCGAGTAGAGTCACCCTCCCTTTCTTTGGAACTTCGTTCGTCGTTCCCTTCCACCTTCGTTTTGTGACAGCTTTGAACCATGAAGACGGGTGCGCGCGCAGCGGACAGCGCCGCGCGCGGCACCGAGCGGGGCGCCAAATTGTTTTGTTTTGGCGCTCATCTTTGAAGATATTTGTTCATTTCGGGAGTCATGTGACATGACTACATGTAATCTACTCGGATGAAAGCATACGCATAATTATGATCGAACTTCACTCAGGAGTTCATTTTGACCATACAATTTTCACATTATGGTAGAGAACTTTTTTGTTCTTCTCACTTAGCTCTATGTCCCTACGAAGCTCGTGTCCCAAAGTTCTGAGACACCCTTTATATATGTACATATTATAAACTTTTACGAATTTCAACGGACTTTATTTTATTGTGAACTTTCGCATAGCTACCAATAAAATGAACAATTTGTAATTATAACGTAATCACGTTTTTCTACTAATTATTTTCAAGAAAAATTCTCCCTTCCCTCGTTCACGGTCCTATCCCAAGTAAAGGGATTCAGTTCCCTGACCTAAATAAAGGACCACCGACGTACGTCCGCGCCAGATAAAGGAGTTATTTCGATCCTTGATCTGCACCGCAGACTTGCGAGTACGTCGGAACTTGTGAAAGCAAGCGTCCAGTTACGTTCCTCCTCCAGTACGTAACAAAGCAATGTTATATATTTAATGACAGTATATCTTCCTTTCCCTGACGGCCTATCTTCTGTACAACAGCCTCTACAAAGTATTATTTTTTTAATTGGTACGCTCTTATTAAATAGGTCAGCGTGCGCGAAGAAGAAGGTTTTTTCTTCCACTAGGAAGGCGCAAATTATTTTCTAAACATCTATATTATCCATACGCATACGGATAAAACCACAGAGCATAATTGTAAAACTAAACGAACTCACCGAGTGAAGTTTGATTTGAATTATGTTTGTGGTTTTGTCTGTATTAATCTTTCCCTCCCGCAGAGGAACCCACCCTATTATAAGGAACTTTTTCCTTTTTTTGGGACGATTTGTTTCACTTTCTCAACAAATGACGTGACGGACCGGCGCGGAAGCGCACGGGGACCGATGGCGCTAGAGAGGCAGCGTCGTTCTCTCGCTTTTGGAACTACTCTGAACTGTTGGTAAATGCGTGTAACGGAAGTGCTACTACATTATTCATACGGACAAAACTATGAACATAATTCAAATCGAATTTCACTCAGAGTGAGTTCGTTTGATTTTACAAATATTTTCCACGACAGGAGCTCTTCTATGCATGTGTGAAGTGACGTAGCAACTCGACGTAATCAATAACCAATAACCGTTATAGGCGCAACATAATGGTTCTTAGGAGAACCTGTGTAAAATACCCGGCCGTTTGTCAATTGCTATTTGCCTGTTCGGAGATATAGACATTATAAAATAAAATAATATATTTATTAGTATTCATGAACATCATTCTGCTCCTTTCACAGAAATTTTCCTTTCTCTCTACAATTCTTTCATATTCCTTTTTTTCAGACGAGAGACCTAAAAATAAATACTCTAAAATAGATAACGATACCCTATAAACGATACCCTAAAATAGATAAAGCATTGAGGCTACTGTAGGTTGCTCAATGCGCATGCGCGAAAATATCTCTCGATCCTCCAATATTGCAATTATTATTATTATTAGCAATATACTCCTAAAACCATTTAGTCCCAATCTCCTCTATACTACTTATGTTAAAAATCTGTAGTAAATATTTGAAATATCTACCTGTGAACACGAAGCAAGTCCAACCAAAAAATATAGAGTGAATAAGCATGCAACAAAAATCTCACGATTGTTGCCAATTATTGGAAACTCGTCACTGAGTGCTGTTATAATTGCCTCTGAACCTCCAAACTATAAAATCATATAAATTTTTCGTTATACACATTTCAAAATATAATCAAGTCACAAAAAAATAATTTAGTTTAAAAATATTGTGCAATATCCTGTATGTACAAGAAACTTTAACAATTGAACGATTGAATTGAATACAGGGTGTTTCAGAACAATTTTTACAGAGCTCGTGGGAGGGGACATAGAGTAAACCAGTGCTGGGAATTAAGTGAGCAGTGCGAGCCGATTTCAAAGGCAACGCCCGCACTTCCCCTACTACCTCTCGAAGCGCGGCGGCCGAGCCGCCGATTGCGCGTGAGACGCTCTGTCTCAGGAACGGTCTCATGTACGATATAAGATGAGATCATACCCTCCGTCAAACCAAAATTAAAATATTTATTTATCCTTAAAAAATAATTCTTACTCTCATTAATGATGAAATATTACGCTTTTATTTCTAATATAATAAATTCTTTTTAATAATAATATAGTGATGACAATAATTAAGAATATAATTATTAAAGTTTTATTAATAGATTTTCACATCACCCATGAGGTATTATTGTTGGTGCGTTTTTTTTTTAAGAAAATCCAATTAATATTTCTATAAAAATTGGCCATTTTGCGCTCTGTACTTATTCTTCCTCTTTCGTTTTTATATTTCTCACGATGTAGCATTTCGCTTTCCTGTTGAGCCATATATTTAATTTTCATTAATTTTTAGTGGAGTAGGCCTACTGGGGAAACCACTTAAAAAAACGCAATAGTACCTCATGGGTGATGTGGAAATTTATTGGCAAAACTTTAATAATTATATTCTTAATTATTATCATAACTATATTATTATTAAAGAGAATTTATTATATTAGAAATAAAAGCGTAATATTTCACCACCAATGAGAGTAAGAATTATTTTTTAGGATAAATAAATATTTTAATTTTAATTTGACGGAGGGTGCGATCCCAACTTATATCGTATATGAGACTCTGCCTGAGGCAGAGCGTTTCACGCGCGTCGGCGGCTCGGCCGCTGCGCTTCGAAAGGTAGTGGGGGAAGCGTGGACGTTGCCTTTGAAATCGGCTCGTGCTGCTCACTTAATTCCCAGCACTGGAGTAAACCTAAAAGTCCCATACTATTTGTGCGATATTTACGATAATTATTAAATTATTAATGACAAAAATTTGAGGAGCGGGCACGCGCTGACATGGATGATTGGAGAAGCATTGCAGCCGCTCGGGCCACAGCATGGTTCAGTCGATCCAGCTGTTGTTGGTGTACGGCGAGGGGAAAGACAATGCGTCGCTATTCTCGTCGCTCTTATGTCTCGCCGCACGCTGCCAACAATTACTAAATCAATGGGCCGCGCTATGGCTCGAACGGTTGCAACGCTTCTCCAATCATCCATTTCAATACGCGCTTGTCAGATTTCTGTAATTAATAACCCGATAACTTACGAATATCGCAAAATGATCGGACTTTTATGTTTGTCTTAATCCGGTTTATGTCTCCACGAGCTCTGTAAAAATTGTTTTGGAACATCTTGTATAAACGGAGAAACAGATAAGATTTAGATTAGATTTAGATTAAAATAAAGAGAAAGGTTTAGGTTAGAAAAATCTACAATTTTGTCAATATTTTTATGTCTAGAAATTCTTCCAACAAATATATAAGATGACTCAAGTAAAGTATGACAACCTAAAAACTCTAAAAATATTTGTCATATTAAAAAGTTGTTAATGAAAAAATGTTATGTATTTGGGAAGTCTTTCCATGTAAAAAAAAATTCGCCCCCACTTTCTTTTAGAGAAGATGGGGGGTAACTTTATAATTTCAAAAAGAGCCTCTTATAAAATGTTACATATTGGACAAAATAAAGTACGCACTTCGAACATTTTCATGTTTGCGTAAATAACTTAGCAGTATTGACAGATAGAAAAGAAATGTATTCGGACAAAAAGAAAGTTTTAGTCTACTTTTAAATTTTAAGTGAAAATAATTCCAAATTACACGCATTAAAAATCTTTCAATAGTTAAATCTATCACATTTATTATTATATTTACTTTGGACAAAATAAAGTACACGCATTAATAATAAAGAGTAAATTAAAGATGAAATGTAAAATTAATATTTCTGCAATAGCAAAAGGCGGCTGTACGAAATATTAATTTAAAATTTTATGTATGACCGCTTGTAAATTTCGAGACTTATTCTTGACTACATTTCAAATGTGCCTATGGTCGATGTTTTCTCATGCTTCTTCCAAGGTTTCGAACAACTTGGTCTTGTTCGTTACATCACTCTTGTCAACTTTCTGGTTTAAAAATGGACCACAAGTTTTCAATTGAGTTTGAATATGGCGCTATCCAATCCTGCAGTTTAATCCTCAAATCACGTCAATAGTTGTACGAGCGGTATATTTTGGATCAGTTTGTTGGAAGATAAAGACATTTTTCAGATCAATCTTTAACAGAGATTCTGCCAAATTTTCGTTGAAGATGTCAATGTATATGTATATATGTATATGTCCATTGTCATAATACCATTGATCTTAATCATTGATCATTCCAACATATGACTATGCAAAACATTTCAACATCATAATACTCCTCCGTGCTTGACCATCTTGTGGACATTTTTATCCAAAATTATTTGCCAAACTTTAATTAAACCCGCAGTCGATGTTTGTAACCGTTGTAAGAAGTCAAACTTACTTTCGTCACTCAAAATTACCTTCTTTAAAAGTCCAAGGCTTATTAATATATTACTTTTTGACGAATTCCAGACGTTTGATCTTATTGATCTTTCGGATCAAAGGGCAACGTAGTGCGAAACTGCTCTTCAGCCTAGCTTTCCGGATTCTCTTATATATGATTCGTTCAGAAATGTTAAATTGAACGTTTTCCCGACTTATAATACGAAGTATGTTATACTTTATTTTGTCCAGTATTATATTTAAATTTTTTACGAGAAAAGACAAGTAAACTTTAAATTTACGAAGTTATTCCCCACCTCCTTTTAAGGGAGGCAGGAACAAATTTTTATTGAAATAATTAGAAAGACCCCTCGAATATATGAAACTTTTTCACGAATAACTTTTTGATATGATATATATTTTTAGATTTTCTGGATTTACACTTTATGTAAGCTACCGTGCATGAATGTAATAAATGTTTTTTAATCTTTTTACTACAGCTAAGCTGGACGCGAAGCGCCATTGCTCTATAGACAACTCAATCGCTGTACGTATGTAATGGAAAAATAATTATTACATTCATGAATCTATTTTGTCGATATATTATTAAAGATATACTATTAGAGAATGATTCTCAACTATTCTCAACTTTATTGTGTACATATTACTTGAACATTAGTAAAATCATAATTAAAAAATATTAAGCGAAAAAATTGTTTATACAACGGGAAACTGTTTTTTAGCTCTCAATGTATCTCAATGTAAACAGAAATAAGTCATAGTGGCGCTTCGCTCTAAACAATTGTTTACCGGAAAATCATTATAACGGCATATAATAGCGAAGATATTAAATGACAAAATGTTCATCTTAAATTAATCATAATGTAAAATCATACCGAGCTGTCCAAACCGAGGGTCAATAACATCATAAAAAAGATAAGTGCCCAAAACATTGAACCAGGCATAGTAGCGATGGCTGCAGGATAAACGATGAAAACCAATCCAGGTCCTTCCGTGGCGACATCTTGAATGGATTTTCCACTGGCATGTGCCATGTAACCAAGCACCGAAAATATGACAAATCCAGCGATAAAAGACGTAGCGCTGTTGATCAAACTCGTCAATAGAGCATCTCTGTGGAAAATGTTAATATTAAATGTATACACATCACACATTGTCATGTTTGTTATACGATGACTGTTCAAAAAGTTCCCGGAAAGTGGTTATTATTCGTAATCTAGAAGTAGAATGTAGAATGCTATATTTATAATTAATTGATGCGAGCGTACTACATGTTAAGGCTTGTTTTATCAGATATTTGGGACAGTGTTGCACGATATATGTAATATTATGTCAATTTGAAATTACTCTTGCATTTGTGAATTTAGTTAAATTTGAAATGTACGCTAATATTAAATTCTTAGTTAAGTTGGGTTAGGAAAAATCTGATATTATTAAGGCTATCACAAATGATTATAGAGGCAATACATTAAAAAAACTATTCTTTATTAATAGATTAATCGTTTTAATGAAAGTTGAAAGAACATTAAACATGACAGTGGAAGAGCATCAATTTTAGTTTCTAAAGAAAATATCTGTGCTATGAAAACTATAATGAAAAATGATAACCGAATAACAGTGCAAATGATAGCTCAGACTTCAGGCATGTTCGTGGAATAAAGATTTAAGAAATAAATGGTTTAATTCAATTTGCTGTCTTTTTATTTACATTTTTCGAGAAGTTTTTGAACACTCTACATAGATAAGATGACCAGACGACCCATTTTTTCCAGGATAACTCTAAATTTCCACCCTTTGCCCTAAGTTTTTCAAAAGTTATTCAGGATGTTAATTTAAACCGACTACGGATTCAGTTAAGCTGGCCCAGTTTATCTTTATCCTTTGGATTAAAGAATTTTTCTTAACGTACCCACATAGTACGTAATATAATATTATAGAAATACCATAGTTAGATTGCAATATACCAATAATATTACATATTATAATATAATATTACGAAAATGTTACTGATATATTATGTTTATATATAACATTAAAATATTATAGTAATATTATATTGCAACATATCTCATCCCAAGTAGCAAGATGATAAAATGACGTTTTTATTATGTCTTATGGACGTTAGAAATGTCATTGAGATGTCATTTAATGTTATTTGTTACATTAAACGTTATACATCGCATTGGAGTATGAATAAAATATTTCAGGGATATATTGTTTTGTAATAAGACGAATATATTTTTCATTAATATTACTCAAACATAAATCACTCTGCACTGCAATATACGTTTGAATATTATTAATAAAAAATATATTCGTAACATCACAAAAACATATATAGCTATACATACATATAATTAACTTTTAGAGAATAAAATGTGATCAAACTAAAGAACAATGAGTAAAAAAGGCCGATTTTAGCCTATCGTTCCCCATTTGGGGAACAAACAAAGCATATTATTTCCAAAGGATTTTGATCCGCTGAACACGATGCCGTCGTTAGTTTTCATCTAAAACGCGGGGAACATATTCTAATTCAAGGATCTATTATATAATAATAATTATATAATAATCGAATGGCCTGGGACTACTTTCGAAATATTCACTGATCATTACTTTTTTTTAGATGGAAACCCACATTTGAGAGTAAATTCGAACAATTGAGTGTAAACACTCAATAGTTGAGTGTTTTTTTCCATAAAAGTATTCTATAACTTCACAATATTACAGTAATATTACAGTATTGTGACATATTACTACAATATTACTGTAGTATATTACCGTAATATTACTGTGATGCATTTCGGCGGATATTTTAATATTACTGATGATATCGTTATAATAATGATATCATTATAATAATGTAGTAATATTTCTATTATATTACGTTATAATAGTGCGATGGGAAAGTAATATTATATTGCTATTACGTGCTATGTGAGTATCCACATAGCACATAATATTACAGCAATATCACAATAATATTACTTCTCCATTGCAATATTACAACGTAATATAGTAGAAATATTATTACATACTACATTATTACAGTGATATCAAAGTAATATTAATATCTCCGCCGAAATACATCACAGTAATATTATGGTGATATACTACAGTAATATTGTGATAATATATCATAGTAATATTGTCATAGTAATATATCACAATAATATTATTGTAATACTGTAAAGTTATAGAATACTTTTACGGAAGAAAACACTCAAATTTGAGTGTATATTTGAGAGTAAATTCGAATAATTGAGTATAAACATTCAATATTTGAATGTTTCTTTCATAAAAGTTAATTTTATATTAGTTAATCTAATATTAGATTTGAAATGTTATCGTTGAAATGTTATATTTATTAATCATTTTTACTTCTTGAAGATGTAAGCAATTCAGTTTTCTGTGATGTATTCACATCTTTTAGTTCGGACTTTTCTGCCTTTATTCTAAAATTTTACAACTGTTATATCTCGAAAACTAAACATTTTAGAAAAAAATGTTTTAGACAAAAGTATAGTTTCAAGGGGTCATATCATTTTGTTTACATATCATTTTATTTATAGATGATGCCATTTTCGAGATATTCACTGATTATTACTTTTCTTAAATAGAAATCTCATTCTTTTATTATCTTCTTTTTCTATGAATTAATTTGAACAACTTTGATTTGAAACATTTTTTAATTTCCTAATATTTTTTGAAATATTTAAGGAAAACTTGATAACTTCTTCAATATTTAACTTACGATATTTGTTAACTTGCTATTTGTTGAAAGAAAAAATAGTGTTAGATGTTTTTACTCTATTTACTCTTTTTTGTCTGAAACGTTTCTTAAACTCTTTCATATTTTTCGAGATTTTTGCCTGATTCATTTAAAATGGGATGCCCTATATTATCCCCGAAATATTTTATTTATACTTCATGCGATGTATAACGTTTAAGTTAAAGTAGCAAGTGACATTAAATGACGTTTCAATGACGTTTCTAATGTCCATAAAACATAACAAAAACGTCATTTAACATCATCTTGCTATTTGAGATGGAATATAAAGTGGGCCACCGAAAACGTAACAAGCGTGTTTTTTGGTATTTAACTTGATTAATTCGAAAAACGCTCAGACACGTCAACTTTAGTTTCAAGGAAGACATGTTAATTGGCTATTTTCGTTCACCAAACTTCGACCCCATAAGATAAATTAATTTCACCATAAAAATTTTAAATGACAAGTGGTATCTAGCAACATATCATTTGAAAGCGCGTTAAATTCCCTTTACAATAATGTTTTATTTTTTGAATTCCGATCATTTTTTCCCGAGAAAATATGCTCTAAAGAAATAAGAAATTTACTAAACTAGCAACTTAGTGTCAACTAGCTGGTGGAACTATAAATGCCGTACGTAAAGAAATGTACGCATGATACAAATGAAATGACATTGTATGTTTTTCCTGTTTGCAAACAAAACATTTGTGTCTCTTAAATATGAATGGATAACGACAGTCTGTGCTTGTATCGACAAGCAACACATCATTCGTAGTTTTCGTTACTTCTACAAATTAAATAATGGTTTACTCGATTGCGGAGAGGATTGAACTAATTGAAGTTTTCTTTCGTAACAATGAATGTGCTAATAGAACAGTCGAATTATTCAACTAACATCATGCAAATAAGCTAATCGATGTTAATCGAAAGTATGTCTTGGAGTTAGTGAGGAAATTTCGGGAAGTATGTCTTGGAGTTAGTGAGGAAATTCGATTCTGTATATAATAAAAAGCGAAACGCTCAAAACCTGGTAAGAAATGAAGCGGTGGAAAAGGCGATACTAGGCCACTTTGCTATCAATCCTACGTTGAGTACAAAGCAATTGACTGTCGGATATTAGTCGGACCAGTATTCGACGGATTTTAAAACATCACAAGTTCCATCCATACAAAATTCAATTGTCACAGCAAATCAATGAAGACGACTTTGATCGTCGTTTAGAATTTTGTGAGATTATAAGTGCACGAGCGGTTAATAATCCAAATTTCCTTTTCAATGTCTGTTTCTCCGATGAATGCACTTTTTATCTAAATGACATAGTCAATCGCCATGATTGTCGCTATTGGGCAGATTCTAATTCGAGGATACTTTACGAAGTACATACCCAGAAAAATTAAATGTTTGGGCTGGTATTTTTGGTAATTGAATCGTTGGTCCTTTATTTTTACTTGGTACGAGTAATTTGACCGCAGAGATGTATTTGGAATTACTGGAAGACATCATTGATCCAATGTTAACTGATATTATCGAGAATGATGAGCATTACCTTGAAGATCAGTTGGTACTCCAACAAGACGGAGCTCCCCCGCATTATGCACTGTCTGTTCGACGGTATTTGGATCAAAGATTTCCAGGTAAATGGATTGGAAGGAGAGGCTCTATTGAATGGCCCGTACGATCTCCAGATTTATCTCCGCTAGATTTCTTTTATGGGATCACTTAAAGAGTAAAATTTACGTATCTCAGCCAGCTTCGTTAACAGATTTACGACAACGTATCGTCGACGAATGCCATCAAATCACTCTACAAATGTTCCAGAATGTGTGACAACGTTTTGGCCAAAATCTTTATTATTATATGGAAACTGGTGGTGGTCATTTCTAACATTTACTACATTGACACGTAAGTTGCTAGTTTAGTAATTTTTTTATTTCTTTGGAGCATATTTTCTCGGAAAAAAATGACCGGAATTCAAAAAATAAAATATTATTGTAAAGGGAATTTAACGTACTTTCAAATGATATGTTGTTAGATACCACTTGCCATTTAAAATTTTTATGGTGAAATTAATTTATCTTATGGGGTCGAAGTTTGAACGGGGTGAACGAAAATAGCCAATTAACATGTCCCTCTTAAAACTAAAGTTGACGTGTCTGAGCGTTTTTCGAATTAATTAAGTTAAATACCAAAAAACACGCTTTCGTTTTCGGTGGCCCACCCTGTATATTGCAATACAATATTACAATAATCTTTTAATGTTACATATAAACGTAATATATTATTCACTATTATTGTAATATTTCAATATTATATATAAACGTAATATATTAGTAATATTTCTGTAATATTGTATTATAATATGTAATATTAATGATATATTGCAATCTAACTATGATATTTCTGTAATATTACGTGCTATGTGAGTAATTATCTTGACCATTGAAATTATCTTCACATAAAGAAATTTGTTTGAGTAGTTAAGTTATTAATATTTTATTTTATTTGATATTAATATAGTTTTAAACTCAACAAGGACAAGTTTGGTATTAAGTATTTTTATATGTGCATAAATAAAATATGTTTTTCATATATGTATGTGTAATATATTTTAAGTAATATTGTTTTACTTCTCCTTTGTTCTACAAAATTAGTAAAGTATTCTAGATATAGGGCTGCAAAATCTGGTCACCTTAATTATATAAGATGTTGTATCCTTACTTGTAAACATTATTATGATACTTATTGTAACTTGCGTAAGCTAGCAACACTCCAAAACCTGGTCCTAAAGAAAAAAATACCTGTGTTGCAGCGTCTACCCATACCTAGAAAAAAGAAAATATATATATATATATATATACAGGATGAGGAAAAAGTCCCGGACCAGTAAAATATCTCGAGAACCAAACGTTTTAGAAAAAAATGTTTCGAACAAAAGTTGTATGATTTTAAGGGAGACATAAAACAACTACATCATTTTGTTTGATGGCACCACTTTCGAAATATTCACTGATCATTACTTTTTTTAAACAGAAACCCTAATTTTTTACTACATCGCCTTTTTCTACCAATTAATTTGAACAACTTTTGTCTGAAATATTTTTTTATTTGTTTAATATTTTTTGAGATATTTAAGGAAAATTTGACAACTTTTTCAATAACTTTTTCAATAACATTAACTTGCGATATCTCGCTAACTGTTTGTCGGAAGAAAAAGTGGTACTAGACTTTTTTGCTCTATTTAATCTCAAGAATATGTTGTTATAACAACGCTCTGACTTTTAATAACTTACTGACTTTTGGAAATTTCAAAATCACCAAATTAACAAAAGTCAGGGCACTATTGTAACAATATATTTTCGAGACTAAATAGAGCAAAAAAGTCTAGTACCACTTTCTCTTCCGATAAATAGTGTTAGCTATCGTTAGATTAGATATCGTAAGTTAAATATTGAAAAAGTTGTCAAGTTTTCCTTAAATATCTAAAAAGATATTAGGCAAATAAAATGTTTCAGACAAAAGTTGTTCAAATTAATTGGTAGAAAAAGGCGGTGTAATAAAAAATTAGGGTTTCTATTTAAGAAAAGTAATGATCAGTGAATATTTCGAAAGTGGTGCCTAACGTGGTGCCTAAAGTGGTGGTCTGTAAACAAAATGATGTTGTTGTAGATGTCTCCTTGGAAATCATACAATTTTTGTTCGAAACATTTTTTTCTAAAACGCTTGGTTTTCGAGATATTTTACCGGTTCGGGACTTTTTCCTCACCCTATATATATATATATTTATATATATATATATATATATATATATATAGGGTGATGCGGAACAACTTGTTCTTGGAATGATGTGTTCTTGACCGAATTCTAAGACGATTTTTTCTCTTTAAAAATTTTATTCAAAGCTTAGTTTCTGAGTTATATAAAAATAAGTAATTTGCTTATTACGAATCAGGTACAGGAGGTAGGTAGGGACAATATAATTCACCGTCAAACGTAGGCGTTTACGTTAAGTGCCTAATGCGATGAGCTTATCGATGTACGTAATAACATTGAAAACATTCTTTCATCGATCTTTTTTCGGAAACATTTTTAAATATGTTGAAACGATTTATTTCACGTCGAAAGCGTCCTGTAATTATATACTCGGACAACGGTTCGAACTTTGTAGGAGCTAAACGCTCAATGAATTGTACGAATTGTTCAGAAAGGAAAATGTCAAACAAGATATCTTGGACTTTGCAGTATACCAGAAGATAAAATGGCAATTCATCCCGCCTAGAGCCCCACACATGGGCGGCCTTTGGGAAGCGGCAATCGAATGCGCTAAATTTCATCTGAAACGCATAGCTGGTGAAGCATTGCTACGACATGATGAATTATTCACGTTAATAACACAAGTGGAGGCTATTTTGAATTCGCGGCCTCTCATGCCGTTATTTAACGATCTTAACGACTTAGCCGTATTTATAGCGGGACATTTTTTAATTGGATGCCCAATCATTTCTTATCCAGAGCCCAGTTTGGAAGGCAAAATAGACTATCACGATGGCAACGAATGGAACAGTTGAAACAACATTTTTTACGTCATTGGACTAAAGAATACCTTCATTATTATCAATTACGCAATAAATGGTACACGATCGAATTACCTATCAAGATCGGACAGATGGTAATCTTGCAAGAGGATAACCTGCCACTATTGTGTTGGAGTTTACCTCGCGTAGAAGTGCATCCTAGTCACGATGGTTGCATTTGCGTCGTCTCTGTGCGCATTAATAAGGGTGTTTATAAATGTCCTGTTACTAAGTTCTGTGTTTTGCCTATTTCGTCTTAGTTGTAAGAAAATATTATTGATTGTTATTCGACCTTTTGTTATACATGTTGCGCATTATAACTATTGGAATATTCGTTTTCATTTTCGTGTTGATTGAAAGCCGATGCTTTCAAGGTGGGCAGGATGTTGCGTATAGATTTGTTTAAGTTGCCCACTCAGCTAGTAATAGCATTTCAGGATAAGGTGGCGCTGTGTCCTGCGATGGCTTAGTTTTATTCTTTCTATTCTTCTTTATATAGTGTATGTAGAGAGTGGGAGACAATATGGTGTATGTGTCGGCAGTTGTAAAGCAATAAAAAGGGAAAATTTTTTGGTTCACGTTGGTTCATCCTTTATAATCACCCAATTGGAAAGAATAGCGTCCACATACGCACACGGCATGAGCCATAAGCATGCTCACAAGACGGCGTGCAGATATATATTTAAAGAAAACTTGATAACTTTTTCAACATTCAATTTACGATATCTCGCTATTTGTCAAAAGAAAAAATAGTATTAGACTTTTTTACTTTATTTCTCAATTACTTATTTTTACTTTATTTCTCAATTGCTTATCGATTTTTGGAAATTTCAAAATTGTCAAATCAACAAAAGTCAAGGCACTATTGTAACAATATATTCTTGAGACCAAATAGAATAAAAAAGTCTAGTACTATTTTCTCTTCCGACAAATAATTAACGAGATATCGTAAGTTAAATATTGAAAAAGTTACCAAGTTTTCCTCAAATATCTCAAAAAACATCAGGCAAATAAAAAAATATCTTAAACAAAAATTGTTCGAATTAATTGGTGGAAAAAGATGATATAATAAAAAATTCAGATTTCCATTTAAGAAAAGTAATGATCAGTGAATATCTCGAAAGTAGCGCCATCAATAAACAAAATGATATCGCTGTCTTATGTCCCCTTTCAAACCAAGCAACTTTTGTCTGAAACATTTTTTTCTTAAATGCTTTCTTAAAGAGATATTTTAGTGGAAACTTCAAAATGGGACACCTTGTATATAGGGTTTTGAAATACATTTTGGGCTAATGAAGGCAAGACCTTGTTGGAAATAATGATGTTGAATAATAATGATAATTGTATACTGAGATTACTATTACTTAGGAATTTTCCGTCGTTGCTGAAATATTCTAAAAAAAAAATCCGAATTCTAATATGTCAAATATCCATTTGCAAAATTGAACTTTCAATATGGTGTTCCAAAATAAGAATTTTGAGCACTATTTGTACCTATTGGAGGAGGCTTAACGAAAAATTACAAATAAAATTTCCTTACTTTTTTCTATAGAATATAAATTTGCAATAACAAATAGGTGTTTCCATCGAAAAAATCAATTTACACTTTATTGAGCTTAAAGTGAATCTTGGACCCAAGATCTAAATATTAGGTGTACAAATGAATAATCCAAATTATTTTAAGTAGTTATGAAATCAATTTTAAATTGAATAGATTTTCCCGCTCTTTTGTGATTATGCAATGTTGACATATAGCTATTAAAAAGAATATATAGTTTGGCGAAAGGCCCTTAACCTTAACATAACCTTCAAAAATATTCAATTCAGTACAGTCGAAAATGGCAACAGATAAGGTGCATATCCGACACTGCATTCTTTACGAATTCTAACAAGGAAAAAATGCTGCAAGAGCGTGCGAATCGATTTGTTCCTTTCTCGGCGAAGGTGTTGTATCGTACGATGTGTGCGCATTTTGGTTTAAGCGGTTTAAAAGCGATAATTTCAGTCTAATCGACAAACAACGCCCTCGAGGCCCTCGGAAGTGCGATAATGATGATTTGGAACAACTGCTCGCTGATAATTCGGCACAAATACAAAAAGAGCTTGCAGAACAGTTGGGAGTAACGCAGCAAACGATTTCCAAACGCCTACATGAGATGGGAAAGATCCAGAAAGAAGGAAAATGGATTTCGCATGAACTCACTGAAACCAACAAAAATCAACGAGTGGCAGCGTGTCTTTCTCTTCTCAATAAGCAGCGTCGAAAGTCTTTCTTGTGGAAAATCGTTACGGGCGATGAGAAATGGATACTCTATGACAATCCGAAACGCAGAAAGTCACGGGTAAATCCCGGCGAATCATCAAAATCGGTCGCAAAACCCAATCGCTTCGGAAAGAAGGTTCTTCTCTGCATTTGGTGGGATATCAAGGACGTGCTTTATTATGAGTTGTTGGAACCGGGTGAAACAGTTACTGCGGACTGCTACCAACGTCAATTAATCTGTTTGAGTCAAGAATTGGAACGAAAACGCCCGTATACTGGCAAAGGAGAACGTCCAGTGAAATTGTTGCATGACAACGCCAAGCCACACATTGCTTCCAATACAAAAGACACCATAATGAGTCTTGGCTGGGACGTCTTGCAATACCCGGCGTATTCACCAGACATTGCTCCATCCGATTATCACTTGTTCCAGTCGATGCAACACGCCTTGTCCGATATGCACTTCCAATCAGTGGATGAGATCCGAAAATGGCTTGACGACTTTATCGTGTCCAAAGACGTAACATTTTTTCGAGATGGAATTCATCAGCTGCCTGAAAGATGGCTTAAAGTTATAGAAAGCAACGGCGAATACTTTGATTGAATAATTTAATTTACTTTCTTTTAAATAAACCTTGAATGTAGCTGAAAAAATTGGATTATTCATTTGTACACCTAATAGTTCATTTGATGGCCTCCTTCAAACTCTACATCTTTTATTCGAAATATTTTTTTTTTCGAAAATGTATTGTGTTCGAGATATTTCTAATTTAAAATGGGACACTCTATATGTAATGATATAATCCATAATATTGAGTGGACTCTACCTTCTGATAAAAAAATACCCGGAATTGCTCATTTAAATGACGCGCGTTTATAATATTTCTAGATATTTTTGTAGTTAAGTTGGTACCAAACTTGTATTTAACTTCTATATAGAATTAAAGCGGATTCTGTCCATTAGTTTGTTCATGGCAGCTGTTTATGTCAGTCAACTTCAGGTACTATTTGCGATTTTTATGATGTCGCATATTATGGAACAGAGTTTGCCTTCAATTTTATGTTTTCAACAAAATTTCTTGTACCGACGCGTTGAAAATACTATAAAAAGCATATGGGGATAACACTACAAAAAGCATATGAAGATAACTGTATTTAAAAAAACACAGGTGTATAAGTGGTATAAATTGTTTAAAGAAGGTCGTATAACCTTCGAAGACTTGCCTCGTTCTGATCGCCCACCACCGTCAAATATCGACGAAAACGTTAAAAGATTGAAGAAATTAGTGTTTGAAAATCGCCGTGTGAATGAAAGAGAGATTGCTGTCGAGCTTAACAATATCAAATCTCTCTGTCCATACTATTTTGACCGAAGTTTCAGATATGAAACGCATTGCAGCTAATACTGAAACAGCTAAATTTTTGCAAAAAATATCGCAAAAATGTGAGCAAAAACATGATTTTTTAAACATTTACCAACAAAACATTCATACAATGCATCATGATTACCCTCAAAAACTCAAATTATCGCTTTGTGATAAACGTTCTGAGATGACTGAAGCAGTAAAAGAAAATTCACTGAAGAAACTCAAGACGATATCAAAATCGGCTTGTGAAAAATATTTTGAAAATTGGATTAAGCGTTGGCATATGTGTTGCACAGAATGAGAACTATTTTGAAGGCAACAAAATAAATTTACCTAAATAATTGAATAGTTTGTGTTTTATTGCCTGATTTCGGGTACTTTTTGAGCTGAAGGTATATCTATGTCTATTTGGAAATCAATACAATGCTCAAAAATATTGGATAACATTGGAAATAATAAGAAGAGCGGTGAATCAATTAACACATAGGATTTATCTGTGCTATTGAGTCCAAGGTCAAAATTTTTAACATTTATTGTAAAAAACAGAAATACCAAACATACACATTTAAATTATATTTTACTATGTATTTGTAATTTTAACTGACCTTGGAATGACCTTATGTAATATGTCGTCAAAAAAGGCTATCACCCTTACGAAAAAAACTATAAGAATACGAAAAAATTACTGGCATACTATTGAAGAACTTCAGTCATTCAATAATACACCAATAATTTTTTCGTATTTTTGTAGTTCTTTTCCGTAAGGCCATAACCTAAAATAAAAAAATATGACATTCCATAAAAAGAAATAAAGTTGATATTGAAATGTCTTCGCTTCTACTTGTAAAATAATCATTTCCACTATAAAATGTCTCGTTTAGTACTGAACAAGTCGGTACGAACTAATTTCTCATGTCTTCAAATTTTGTTAATAATGAAATCGGTCATTTTATACAAATCATCCTGTATATGTTAATGTATCATATTTTATGTACGAGAAACAGGTGCTATTTAAAGGATAATCTAAAATATTTGTATATAAAAACTTTATAATATAAACATAATACTACATATGATATATAACGCTTAAACCACAATGTAACTACTATATAACAGTTATAAAAGAAAATTAAATAACTTGAATATTAATAACATATAACAGCAATCATATTACGTGTCATTTCTGTTATATAATAGTTTTTAGTTAATAATAATATTTATGTTTGCTAGGACTTTTTAAAAGATTTTTGTGAACAGAGTATCTATGACAGTATGAAAATTTTAGAAAAACTCATAAGTATATATATACTGGGTGTTTCAGACCATCCGGGTCACTCGATTTTTTCGTTAACGCGACATTTTAGAGAAAAATATTTCAGACAAAAGTTGTAAAAATTTCAAAGGATCTATTTACAGACGCTATGAATTTAACCTTAGGATAACCTTGAAAAGTCCAGTCAAAATCAACATAAAAATCTTAAAAGGATACCCAAATTTTTTATTACATCATGTTTTTCTAGCAATTAATTTAAACAACTTTTGTCTGAAACATTTTTTTATTTATTTAATATTTTTTGAGATATTTGAGGAAAACTTGATAACTATTTCAATATTTAACTTACGATATCTCGCTAACTATTTGTCGGAAGAAGAAGTGGTACTAGGCTCTTGCTTTATTTAGTCTCAAGAATATATTGTTCCAATAGCGCCCTGAATTTGGTTAATTTGATGATTTTGAAATTTCCAAAAATGCAACAGGTTAACAAAAGTCATGGCGCTATTATAAAAATATATTCTTGAGACTAAATAGAGCAATAAAGTCTAGTAACACTTTTTTTTTCGACAACTAGGTAACGAGATATCGTAAGTTAAATATTGAAAAAGTTATCGTTTTCCTTCAATATCTAGAGAAATATTAAATAAATAAAAAAATGTTTCAGACAAAAGTTGTTTAAATTAATTGCTAGAAAAAGATGATGTAATAAAAAATTTGGGTATCCGTTTAAGATTTTTATGTTGATCTTGACTGGATTTTTCAAGGTTATCCCAAGGTCAAATTCATAGCGTTAGTAAATAGATCCTTTGAAACCCTGCAACTTTTGTCTGAAATATTTTTTTCTAAAATGTTGGGTTAACGAAAAAATCGAATGACCCGGGTGGTCTGAAACACCCGTATATATAGAGCGTAAATATTTTTGCTTAAATGGCTTGGTCAATTTTTCATTAGAGTCAATTTGAATAATAATCTATAACTTTCTATATGTACTATAGTATATAGTATAGTATGTTTCTATATGTATAGTTTTTAAAGCATATTTTATCGAATGTCAGCTATCATTATTATTTAACTCTAATCTGATTGGAGCTGATTAACAACTGTGTAATCTAATAATAAATCTTTATTGACTACACTTAATAAGTAATAATAAATAAATATTATTCTTTCCTTTTTAATGTTTGAATGATTTTGGGAACTTATATAAATATGTGAATTCACATACATATGTCTAAAAATATCTTGAACAAGATATCTGTAAGGCGATATTCTTAAAATGATATTTAAAAACTTCTTAAATATGGATATAAATAGATGTCTTTTTATATTTTCATAAAATATCTTCGAAATTTTAAGATATCTTTTAGAAATTTTTAAGACATTATAATTATTTAAGAACTGATACAGAGTAGTACAAAACGTTACCTCTGCCTTTGTAATAGCGGAGAAATTGGGGTTGAGATAATAACGAATCCCTTCAGTACTTCCTGGCAAAGTAACACCCCTGATCAGCAGAATTAGTAAAACTGCATAAGGAAACAGAGCGGTAAACCAGACTACCTACAAAATAAACAATTAAATTGTGGCGTTTTTTGTGAAGAGTTGTACAGAGTGTCTGGTAATTAGCTGTCAATCCAAAATGTGGAGGTAGATTAGGTTAAGACAAACATAAAAGTCCCATATCGTTTTGCGAGATTCGCAATATTTATTGAGTTATTAATGACAAAATCTGAGAAGTGAGAGCGCGCCGACATAAACTACGTTTACACGGCAACGTTAATCCGGATTAGTAACGACCATAGTTAGTAAATTCTTTGATCCGATTGGTATATTCTTTTAGATCGAAAAATATAATCGGATTCGAGACTGCACTAATTACGGTAATTACTAATCCGGATTAACGTTGCCGTGTAAACGTAGTTATAGATGATTGAAAAAGCGTTGCAGCTGCTCAGGCCGCAGCGCGTCTCAGTCGATTCAAAAACTGTTGCCGGTGCGCAGCGAGAGGAAAGACAACCGCCGCTATTTGTTGTTTTATCTTGCCGCACTTATGTCTTACCGCACGCCGCTAACAGTTGCTGGGTCGACTCGAATCTAACATTCGCAATAATTATCGGTATGAGACTTTTATGTTTGTCTTAACCCAATCTACTTTTTCACATTTCGAGTTGGCAGCTAATTACCGGACATCCTGTATATTATAGTTATAAATAATATTGAAAAATAGCACATATACACATATACGCGCACACAGACGTGTGTGTGTGTATACAGTACTTATAACTACAGTACTTATAATAAATAATATAGATGATGCAAAAGTTTTGATGTACTTCTTAAAGATATGATAGCTCCAATTTTATGGTAGTACTTATAAATATATGATATATAAAAAATAATAGAAAATAATGGCGTATTTGGTACAATAAGAGAAATCGTTTTTAATAAAATTATTTAAATTCACAACACATTTTTCTATCACAAAACTTATCAAAATTTTTATATTCATCTATAATAATTTTAATAATTAATCTAATATGTATACTAAATGTACAATGTATGGATTTAAAGTGTTTGCGAGAAATCAAAAGTACCTTATGAAATTTTGCTATATGATTTTTAAAATGTCAGATTTTTTACGAGGCATTTAACTTACCTTGCCAGAAGTCGAGATGCCTTTCCATAAAGAAAAATAGCAGACCAAGTAAACCACAAGCAAGCATAGTGCGATGTCCCATTTAATAGCTCCGAGATCATGTAAACCATTGCTTTCATGCAGCTCCAAAATAGCGCGGCTTAAGGAAAAAAGTTCCGTAATTCAGATAAAATTTTGCAAACTTAAGTCAAAAGGATTCTGTTTAAAGTCGATTCTAAAATATGTGAATATCTATTTGATATATTTTTGAATTATGTTTTCAATTCTCATTTTTACGATATATTTTAATATATGCATTTTACTTATTTTAATGCAAATATAATTTTATTAAATTAAGATTATTTCATATTGACATTTCAATCATTTGCATTCTGAGCACTAATTAAAGTTTTATTATCTACTATACACATGCCTAAATTCTAATAAAACTAAACTCTAATAAAACTAAATTCTAATAAAATTAAAATAAAATTGCAGATTATAATCCATTATTGATTATAATTAATTGTTGATAAATAGATTCTTTAATTCGACAATTGATAAAGCCGTGAAAATTTATGACGCAACATGTTGATATAAAGATAAAAATATTAGTAAATATGTCTATGAAATAAATAACATTACAAACATTCTTAGATACTTAAGTATTGAAAAATACTTAGGTATATATATATATATACGAGGGCGGTCCGATAAGTACTTAGCCTTACCGCCCGATGGCGCCACTATCGCAAGAGAAATTTACTATCGTGTAGTACATTCTCGTAGACGGCTACTGTCGAAATTTCAGCCGAATCGGACTCGTAGTTTTGTTTTGATCGCGTGTGGAAGCGGGCGTGTCCGCGGATTTTAGAAAAATGGAAAAAGAGCAATATCGGTCGGTGATTCGATTCTTGTTTTTGGAAGGGAAATCGCGCAGCGAAATCAAAGAGCGCTTGGATGCTGTGTACGGTGACTCTTCTCCTTCGATGGCGACCGTCAAAAATTGGTTTAACGAGTTTCAACGTGGTCGCACGTCGGTTTTTGATGAGCCCAGGTGTCCCGAAAACGGCTACCACGGAGGATAACAAAAATCCACGATCTCGTATTGGCAGACCGCCGATTGAAGGTGCGCGAGATAGTTGAGACAGTAGGCATCTCAGAAGACCGCGTGAGTCATATCCTGCATGAAATTTTGGGCATGAGAAAGCTGTCGGCGCGATAGGTGCCGCGTTTGCTCACTCCGGACAACAAGCGCAACCGTGAGGCCACTTCAGAGCAGTGTTTGACGCTGTTTAAGCGCAATCCGAAGGAGTTTCTGCGTCGTTTCGTGACCGTCGACGAAACATGGATCCACTGGTACATACCAGAGACCAAGGAACAGTCGAAACAGTGGACTTCACCCGGCGAACGTGCTCCGAAGAAGGCGAAGACTGTCCTATCGGCCGGAAAGGTGATGGCCACCGTTTTCTGGGATTCACAAGGTGTGATCTACATCGACTACCTGGAGAAGGGCAAAACGGTCACAGGGCTGTACTATGCCGAATTATTGGGCCGATTCGACGCCGAATTGCAGAAAAAACGGCCTCATTTGGCGAAGAAAAAAGTGCTCTTCCACCATGACAACGCACCGGCTCACACCTCCGCCCTCGCCACGGTCAAATTGGTCGAATTGGGCTACGAACTGCTGCCCCATCCACCGTATTCTCCAGATTTGGCCCCGTGCGACTTCTTTTTGTTTCCAAACTTGAAAAAGTCACTCGCCGGACAGAAATTTGAGTCGAATGAGGAGGTCATCGCCGCCACGGAGGCCTACTTTGCAGACCTCGAGAAAACGTATTTTTCAGACGGGTTAAAGAAGTTGGAGCATCGCTGGGTCAAGTGTATCGAGCTAAAAGGAGACTATGTTGAGAAATAAATCGCCACTTTTCCAAAATTTTCGTTTTTCTTTTGTAGGCTAAGTACTTATCGGACCACCCTCGTATATATTATTCTGGAGGTGTTGCTCACTTAAAATATTCATGAGCAGCGCTTGTGTATACTGTATGGTTATCTGCTGCATTCTGACTAGTCATGATCGTATCTGATCTTTGATCGATCAAAAACCGTGTGATGTTTCCAAGATTCTCGGTCACTTTGTCAGCTATTATGTCCTTCGACGCATACGTAATGTTTCCATCAAATTCGCGGCACAATGGTGTGTTCCAAGGGTTATCGCAAGTAGTCCATGGCAACAATCCAGAGAATGAGGCGAAGAAATATCGTAGCGACCAGGCGATAATAACATTGTAATAAAAATCGACGTAAAATGCAATTAAGACGACTGCGTATCCAATACCTATTCAAAAACAATATACGTATTTTTATAGTGAATTATAGTGAATTATAGTGAATTACATGGTGTTAAGCACGATAGCAAGGATTTTTCTTTTCGAAAAAAATATTTAATATCCTTTTACGCTTGAAAGTTTTTATCCTTTTACGAGAAAGGAAAATATATAGCTAACGCGATTAATTTCATTGCATCTAATATAGAAGAGAACATATACAAGTGCGCATATATACATGCGCATATACACATGCGCATATGTTTTTATATCTATCTATGGATATACAGGGTACCCCAAGACAATTCTGCTACTGCTCACGAGAACGTAAAGTGGATCAAAATGAATAAGAAATTGCTACACTGTTTTGTGATATTCGTAATAATTATCGAGTTATTAATTATAAAAACCACATGAATGAACGCGCGTCGAAATGGTAAGATTTGAACTGTTCCGACTATAATATAGCCCAATGATCAAACAACTATTGCCAGCGGCAAAGAAGAACAACACGCCGCTGCTTGTGCTTACATCACTACTCTTATGTCTTACGCATCATGCCTAAGTTCATATCAATATGTGCGCTAAATATTCACAATTGCAATTGTAAGATCATTTTACGAGATAAAAACAATTTATATTGGAATCGTAAAAAGTTCTGAAATAAAGAAAAAACTGAAAAAAAGAAAGTGATGGAATCTTCAAAGAATCTCATTGTTTTCTATGTGATTTATTATTTCGCTACATCGAATCTGAAAGAAATGATATTTTTATCGTATTTTGTCGTTTTTTGTTAAGAGAATATTTAATAATAAGAGTATGATAGATTCCAATGGAGATTTATCCATGACGCCGCGGCAGTATTGGACGATACGGCCAGTGCTACCACGTGTCGAGCCTTATCGACCTTTTGCGAAAAAACACTAGCGCCGCTTTTTTATCGCCTCATTGGCATCATCTGACCCTCTCTCCAATGAAACGCGGAAACGCGCCGTTTTTTTTTCACGTGCTTCTGTTATTACTGTCCGTTGTTGTTCCTGAAGCTTGATCTAATTTTCATGCTCGATTTTCGCGTGGAGAATACTGAAGAAAGTAATAATCTCGTCAAATTATGCGAACGATAAGGAATCAAAAGATATTTTGGAATAATTACTCTTCCTCTATTTCACGTTCAATCGATCAGCGATCCGACGATCTTGCGATAAGCGGAATATAGAGATTCATTTCTTCTGGTTGATGAAGTTTTTCTTCTTTTTCCAACAATCCTATTTTTCTTTCTCTTAATTTTCCGTCATTATGTTAAAAATATAGCTGCATTGTGAAAATGCACACATGTATTTAAAATATAGAAGATAAAGCTTGGTATAAAACAAAGAAATTTTACAAAGTATCTACTTTACCTCACGAAGTACTTTGCATAAATGACAGCTTGCGTATCAATAGTCTTAGTTAGTAGCTGCATTCTGAGAATACAACGATCGCGGGGGTATATCTATTCGACACAGCACAAAGTAGATGATTGGTTGGATCTAATAATTCACTAGATAATACTTTGCATCAGTTGGTTATATGGAAATTTATCGTGTTCTATCCGTGTTTTATTCAAGATCTATTTTTTTACACAGTGAGGCTAAAAAGTTTTAGGACTGATGTAATAAAAACGATATAAGAAACATTATCTACAGGGTGTCTCAAAATTGTAACACACCGTCAAAGCGCCAAAACGCCATCGCGACGGTCAGCGCGAGCCGCGTTACCACTCAGCCTCAACGTACACAGCTCGCCGCGGAACGTCTATAAGCCGCGATGGGCGTAACAAACGCTAAACTTTACGCAGTTATTACTAAAAAACTATACGAGATATCGTTAAATGGAAGAGGACTTTTTCATTCCTCTCACTTAGCTCTACACCCCTACGGAGTTGGTGTGTTACAATTTTGAGACACCATGTATATGCGATAAGTGAAAGCATGTAGTTCAAAGCCTTCTGGATACGATTGTTATGTTGCATCAATTTCCATTGAATTCTCGCCGAGATACGTCTTGCGTGTCGTGTGTTATTTGCGATTGTCATGGAAGCGAACAGAGGTCTGCGATCAAGCAATTTTGTTTTAAAAGTGGTAAAACGCTGCCGAAACTTACAAAATGACATAGAATACATACGGTGAGGAGTATTTGTCTCGATGGAGTGTGTTTTTGTGGTTTGATAAATTTCGAGACGGTAGAGAGGGCATTCAGGATGACGAAAGAATAAGGCGTCCGCACCAGGCGAACATCGAAGCTGTCTGTGCTGCGTTGAAAGACAATCGTCGGTTAACGATCAGATTGCTCGCGGAGCAATTAAATCGATGAAGAAACTGTCCATATGATCATTAGTGAGGATTTGGGAAAAAGGAAGTTGTGCGCACGTTTTGTTTCGCATGCGTTGACAGTCCGATAACGCGTCTTACAATGCAGCAATAATTCGCCAGTTTTTAACAAAAAAAAATATTACTATGTTATACTATTCACCTTACTCGCTGGATTTGGCACTGGCAGATTACTTTTTGTTTCCAAAGTTGAAATTGAAGTTAAAAGGACAGCAATTCGACGACGAGCATATCAAGACGATCCAAAATAACATAACGAAGCATTTCCAGCTCTGAAGCAGCTGACGGAGCATGCCGAGCAATGTATACGAGGGTTGTATGATAAATATCCGTATTAGGGAAGGAAACACATTGTTTTTAGTTCTTTTATTTATTTCTCAACATAGTCTCCTTTCAGCTCGATACACTTAGTCCAGCAATATTCCAACTTTTTTAAGCCATCCACAAAATATGATTTGTCGAACTCCGCAAAATAGGCCGCTGTTTCGGCGATGACTTCCTCGTTTGACGTGAACCGCTTTCTGCCAAGCCATTTTTTCACGTTTGGAAACAAAAAGAAATCGCATAGGGCCAAATCTGGGGTCAAATTTGATGGATGAAACAGCAATACGTAGCGTAATTCGACCACTTTTGTTATGGCGATTGCAAAATGATTTGCATAGCCCACTTCTGCGCTACTTGCAGTTTATCTAGCTGTGTTTCATCCGTACCAATCAACAGAGTTGCACAATATTCAAAATGAGGTGTTATGATTGCTTTATATATAATACATGTATTATATGCCGATATGCTGTTACCTAGTCTATTTAAGAAGCATGTTTTTTTGCCTATCTTTTTTCAACATATAATCGCAATGTTCCTCTAGTCTTAGCTTACTGTCAATAATTACTCATAGATATTTTATTTTTTCTATAATACTTGCTCTATTAGTGATCCATCCAAGCATTTTACTGTAATGTTTGCTTTTAATTCTTTTCTTACACCTCTAATCGTATATTTTGTTTTATTGGCGTTCATTTTTAATTTATTTACATTCAACCATCTTTTTACTGTAGGTAATAACTACACCTTTGTACGTATTGTCCTTCATTTCCACAGCTATACACCAACAGTTAGATAAAATTTTTTCGTTTAATATTACTTCATATTTAATGTCATTTCTTATATATAACATAACTCCTCCGTTATTTCTATTTTCCGCATCGCACCTAACTATATTATATTCCGGCATATTCACTTCACTATCTCTAATGTCTGGTATTAGTTTAGTTCCCGACAATGCTAATAATGCCGGATTCATCTCCTTCAAAATCTGACGTTGAATCTCTTCTTTATATGCCATCAGACTTTGAGCATTTACGTATAAAATTGACTTCTTCTATAGTTGCTATTTGGTATTGTCCCAGCTAGTTCTCTTCTTCTCTTCCTCCAATGCTCTGCTGAATATTGGACATTCCACGCTCAGGATCATGCTCATCACTAATCTTCAGGTTATAGGTTCTAATCTTGTACATACAGTTTATGCATCTCTTCTTAGTCGCATTACATTCGTTTGCTTTATGGTTTCCCGCACACTTATGACATGTGTCTTGTCGTGTACAATTTTTGGCAATATGATAGTAGCCCTAACACTTAAAACATCTTCTAACATTGACGTGATTGTATACAAGACATTTTCTCCATCCAATATTTATTTTCCCTCTTCTCAACATCAGCTCATGTGACATTTCATCCACCTCAAGTATTATTGAGCCTTCTTTTCTTTCTCCTCTTGCTCGCATATTATCATTTCCTCTCTCTTGGCATACTTGGCATACTTGGCATGCTTGTAGAATAGCTAAAAATAAGGGACCCATATTTCTTTTATCAGTAATGGCTCAGAATAAATGGAACTGCCCCTCAAAGTTTCATCCTTTTTTGCTATCTTTATTTTGCTATTTTTGCTTACTTTATGCTATCTCGATAATTATTGCAGATAGGAAAAAACTTTTTAAACAAAAATTGTACGAAAAATTGTACGATTTTGTATGAAAAATAGAATAGGCTTGATTAAGATAAAAACTATTTTTAACAATTAACCATTAACAAAATAACCATGTCAGGCTTAATTATTAATTTATCAAATTCATTATATGGAGGAAAGGTAGCATTTTTCATTCTGAATCCATCTATTTATATATTGTTTTATATATTGTTTTATATTTAAATTATTACACGGACATTAAGATTTATAAATGAATGTGATACTATAAGCAAAATGCTCAATAACGTGTACGAGCGTTTGACTGCTATATTGCTATGTAAATGGTAAACATTTATTTACATCTTTTGAACGCATTTTTATTAATAAAACAATATAAAATATTACAGGTATAAAAATAATTCAGAACTATAAACACATAAACGCGAGCCGCCGAACATTTGTTTTATTATATTTGTATCATATATTTTATATCACATTGTTTTTAAGTGTGTTTAATATATATAACAGTAATTACGTTCATATTACATTGATGTTATTATATGTATTATGTGTGTGTGTATTATAATATTGAGAGATTAACGCGAATAGATTATTCCCATGCGTTCATGCATATATTTTAAACTTCCATCTTCTATGCAAAAGACAATATAATTTTCTA